AAAGTTTGTCTTTTCACTCCTTTGTCCAGGCATTATCCTTCTGTGGCTACACTTTCTGTGTCTACTCCACTTGTCATCTCCTTTAAAAAGTTGTTTTTTTTTGGTTTTCTAGTCAGCTCTTCTTTATTGTATTTAATATATTTTTACATACTTTACCTTGGAGTCTCCTGTGATCAGCCAGCACTTGGGTTCAACCATTAAAGCAGAATTATGTCAGCATGCCCAGAACAAACTGAACCCAGCAGTAGGATGATTTCCATTTTCGAGTTCTTGGCCCGCGAAGCAGACTAAACTGCCCAGCGGGACAAGGAGAAAAGGGAGAGAGAGGAGGCAAAGTCCGTCATCTGATGGGGCAGTTTCTAGATGGAAGAGTCCGGGCCTGCCCGAAGACGACATAGCCAAGTGGTGGATATACTGCCCTCACCCATCTTGGTGGAGGAAGAAGAGAGGAGGAAGGCTCAGTTCAGGGGAACCCGCCTAGCTTTCAAGCTGGCTTGTTCAGTTCCACTCCTTGCTCCTCGTCCACCACATTGCTACCCTCTGCCACGCTGCTTGCCTCCTGAGTTCCACAAGTGGTCACCGGAGGAGGATCCAGAGCCAGATGATGAGCTCTGGTTTGACCCTGGTCCTAGCTCACACCGGTGCCGCAAGAGGGGCTGATGGCAGTACTGGACCAAACCTGCTGACCTCCAGCTCCTCTCTCCACCCAAGTCTTCCCAGATACAGCTGGGGAGCGTTGGAGATTTTCGCAGGCGGGGGCAGTTGAACCCTTGCCACCGGGAGAGCAGTCATGCTCTTGCTCGTTGGAGGAACAGCTGAGCTCACGCTCTGACGGATCAGCCGAGTCTGTTCAACCGAAGAAGCAGCCGAGGCCTGATCAGCCGAGTCCAGTTGAGCCAAAGAAGCAGCCAAGTCCTATTCAGCCGAGGAGGCAGCCAGGTCCCGATCAGCGGAGTCCTGTTCAGCCAAAGAAGCAGTCGAGTCCATTAAGCTGAGTCCTGCTGAGCCAAAGAAGCAGCTGAACCCACTTTTCTGTGTCTCCACGGGGTCCGGCCATGACACTTCATCACCCTGTATCTCCATGGGTGTCGGGGACAACGAATGACATTCCTATGTCTCCGTGGGCATTAAGGATGATGGCCTACACTCTTGTGTCTCTGTGCGCATCTGGGATGATGGCCTACACTCCTGTGTCTCCATGGGCGTCGGAGACGACGACCACGCTCCCGTGTCTCCATGAGCATCTGGGACAATGACCCTGTTCCTCTGTGCCTCTCTGTGGATGTCGGGATGATGATCCTTTTCCTCCATGCCTTTCCATGGGTGTCTGGGATGATGACCTTTTTCTTCTGTGCCTCTCCGTAGGTGTCAAGGATGATGACCCTTTTCCTCTGTGCCTCTCCCTGGGTGTTGGAAATGCTGACCCTTTTTTCCTTCGTGCCTCTCTTTGGGTGTCGAAAGTGGTGGCCCTTTTCCTCCGTGGTTCTTCATGGGTGTCGGAAATGATGACGTCTGTGCTGTAGCATCCCTGGTCGTTGCAGACTCTCGGGTCTCTATGCCAGCTGCAGCCCCCTCGTTGGACTCGCCGCTGGCTGCAGCTCTCATCGCTGGTTCACCTGCAGCCGCAGTCTCTCAGTGGTCTCTCTGCCTGCTGTCGCAATCTCCCATTGGTCTCTTCACCTGCTGCTGCAGTCTCTCTAGTGGCTTCTCCACCTACCTCCACTGCCTCCCGGTTGGTTTCCTCACCTCTCTTCAGCATGAGTTGGAGAGGTTCTAGGTGGATGCCACTCATGCCCAAAAATAGACTGTTGCCCATCAGAACTCTTGCCTCATTCTGGATGGTCTCCCAGCCATCCATCTGGGTGTCTGTTCCGCTCTGGATGGTCTCCTGGCAGTCGACCTGAACTCTTGGGGATTGGTGCTTTTTCCTTTGTGTTTCCCAGGTTCCTACTTGCCAATGTTTTTGTTTCTTTGTCCTTGTGTTTCACTTTGTGCCCTCTTTCCTCCCTCCTCCCACCCAAGTTGTGTGGGGTTTTTCTTTGAGGATGTCAGGTGCCATCCCATGAGGAGGCAGGGGTTATGTGGGGTTTCTGTCTTGTTCTCCAGCACTCCTGTTTTTCCTCCTTGTGTCAGCTCCTGTCTCACCTGTGTCTAATTGTTATCATTCCAGGTGTTTCTCATTTTGTCTCCTCAGTGTCCTGTATAAAGTCTGCGTCTATTCACTCCTCCTTTGTCCGGGCATTATCCTTCCATGGCTACATGTTCTGTGTCTGATCCGCTTGTCCTCTCCTTAAAAAGTATTTTTAGCTGTCCTGTCAGCTCTGCTTTGTTTTTTGTTTTTTTAAATCAATATTTTTACTTACTTTACCTTGGAGTCTCCTTTGATCAGCCAGCTCATGGGTTCAACCATTAACTGCAGTAATATGTCACACTTGATGTAAACAAAACATTGTTATTTGTATACTTTACTCAATTATTAGCACACAAACCTCAAATTTTCAGACTTCTCATTTCAGACGTCTTGGATGTTGTCATTGTACATTGACCTATTTTAAGTCGCTGTGGCTGTTTTCCAAAACGGTGTGTGTCACCAGAAAAAAACGCTTGTAAATGCATAAATGCATATTATAGTCAGCAGACATGCGCAAATTATGCTTCAAAATTTGGATTTAATTTTTAAATTTAATAAATTGTGCAGAATTTGTTTCTTTCTTAATAAAAACAAATAAAAACTTTCTTTTTAACAAAAAAACGAAGTCCAGATGACATGATTCAACCTTTTTTGTTGTTATATACCTGGATGACTGAGAAAACAAACTTTGTGTTCTTTCTTAATGTTTTTATTTTATTTAAACCGTTCTTCACGTTGTTGTGATAAGTACTTAAAAAAAAAAATTCAAATGATAGTTTATGTATGAGAGAGATGACCGGTTTGAGCAGGTGAGTCACATCTGTGGTTAACAGCGGTAAACTGAGCAGAATGACAGCATTCCTCTCTGCACACCTCTGACTGTCTGTTAACAAAACGTGCCCATTTCTATCACGTGTTTTTAATGTGTAAACAATCAGCTCTCACTTAAACATGAACACTTTCATCCTTTAAACCATTGATGTAACTTTGGTGCAGAGTTGTTCATTTAACATGTAATTTAAAAAAAATTTTGTTCTAAAAAATTGTTTGGTTTACCAAGTGTGTGTGTGTGTGTGTGTGTGTGTGTGTGTGTGTGGTGGTGGTGGTGGTGGGGGGGGGGGGGGTATAATGTTTTATTGTGGGGACCAATTTTCTAAAACATCCTACATTGTGAGGGCCAAATGCTCCTTGTGGGGACCAAAGCCTGGCCTCAATAAGTATAAGTCTCGTTGATGTGTTAGGGTTAGGTTTAGAACTAAGGTGTGAATTGTGGATCGGTTAGGGTTAGGTATGTACTTGTAATGTTAGGTTTAGGGTAAGGGACAGGGTTAGGCTATAGAAATGAATGGAAGTCAATGCAAAGTCTCCACAAAGATGGAAAAGCAGGTGTGTGTGTGTGTGTGTGTGTGTGTGTTTGTTTTTATATATATATGGGTTTGTTTGACATTGTGATCTGTGGTGAAAGCAGGGAACGGGTGGAAGAGAACTTGGAGAGGTGGATGTATGCACTTGAAAGTAGAGGAATGAAAATCAGCGGTAGTAAGACAGAGTACATGTGTGTGAATGAGAGGGAGGCTGATGAAACAGTGAGGCTTAAAGGAGCAGAGGTCACAAAGGTGCAGGACTAAAAGAACTTGGGGTCCACTGTCCAGGAACATGGGAAGTGTGGTAAAGCGGTGAAAATGAGAGTCCAGGCAGGATGGAGTGGATGGAGAAAAGTTTCAAGAGATTTGTGACAACAGGGTGGCAGCAAAGGTCAAAGGAAAAGTTTACAAGACAGTGGTGAGACCAGCTGTGTTTTATGGTGATGGACAAAAAAAAAACGGGAGAAAGAACTGGAAGTAGCAGAAATTAAGATGTTTAGGTTCTCCTTAGGAGTAACGAGGTTAGGAATGAGATCATCAGAGGTACAGCACAGGTTGCACAACTGGGAGATCAAGTTAGAGAGGCCACTCTGAGATGGTTTGGACATGTACAGATGATGGACAGTGGGTATATTGGTAGAAGGACGTTAGAAATGCAGCTGCCAGGAAAAAGACAGAGGAGATATATGGATGCAGTTAGAGAGAACATGGAGGTAGTTTGAGTGAGGACTGCATTCGAGTGATACAGCGGACAGAGTGAGATGGAGGAGGATGACTCACTGTGGCGACCCCTGAAGAGGGAAAAGCCGAAAGAAGAAGATGAAGAAGTAGTCTTCAATGGGACAAGTTGGACCTTTTTCTTCTTTCATTATACTGGTACTTTTATTAACTGCCTTATAAAAGTGGGCAAAAAAGTTTGTGTGTGTGAAAGTTTGTAAGTACCTGTTATTAAAATATCTCATGAATCATTGGATGGTGTTTAATAAAACTTTAGTACCTACTAAATGTTTGTACCTGTACAACAGATTAACTTTTGGAGCCAACCCAATCTAAAATGGCCACTCCAGTCTATTGACCTTGGAAAACACAAAAAATACCATAATTCAGTGAATTTTACAACCATTGTGGTAAAATTATGTGTTGTTGTAGCTGAGAGTCATTCACAACACATACTTCAAGTGCTAGAAAATGCACAAGATTTTTGTTTAAAATGTTAGCTTTAACTTTTGGAAAGTACCTGTCTGTTAGCAAAATTTTTCATGACACATTGGACAGATTGCAATAAAACTTGCACAAAATAATCAATAAACTTGTACAAAATAATCAATAAACATCCATATGCATCTTCAACTGAGTCAGTCTAAGTCTAGATGTCTACAACTCTGGAGTAAATGGTGGGCGATATGCATTCCTTTGAGGCGTTCTAGGCCTTTACCTTATATGTACTCCAGCTGAAACAATAGGCCTTATAACAATTAATTTTACCATTTTGTTTTATTTTTCAGGTCCAAAGACAGCATGTACCACGCTCTGACATATGCCACTATTTTAGAAATGAAGGCCATGATGACCTTTGACCCCCAGCACATTTTGACTGCAGGAAGCACCATGAAGGAGGCACAGGCTCTTTGTCAGCGGTGAGCCATTCCCACAGTAGAGTAAAATATTGTAAACAAAACAAATGTGTAATGATGACAGTGAGTTTTTTTGTTTTTTTTTTGTACATCTCGTGCTGAGTCAGTAGCCTAGATGACAACTGTCTCAGAATAAATGGGTGGTCGGATCATTTTTAAAAGAAGGCCAGTTTTTGAGGCCTGATCTTTTCAAACAGGATAGTAAGGCAAATGGAAACATTCAGATGTGTGTTGCTGCCTCCTATAATCCCTGCATCCACTTTATTAGACTAAAAACTAAAGGGACATGCTAAGATTGTTCTGACTCATTTGCAGAACAACTTACAAAACAAGTTGTAATTAGTCATAATTGGTCTCAAAGCCATGTGAGAATAGAAAAACAACATCCTATCAGCCCACCCTGACTCTGAAAATGACCATAAAGCTGCAATTTTCCACGTTAACATTGTTGGGGCTGGTAGAAAATGTATTACACATTCTGCATTGTGTGTCAGCATCCTGTTCTTCTGAATGAAGCCGAGTCACAGCTTGCAGGGAAGTGAAATTAGAGAAAAAAAAATGAAGGACAGTGCAACAATTACAGGTTTTTTCTTGCTTTTTTCGTCAGGCACAGGAAGAAATCGAGCTTCTCTAAAAACTTCACAGAAGGTGTGTAGATAGAACAAGTTTAATGGGTCATGTTTTGTGTGTGGCACCTGTGAGAGGTGTATTATTAGTTTGCATTTGTGTGTATGACGTAATCTTTTCTACCTCAGAGGAGCTGCATGCTGAGGTTTGCTATGCTGAGTGCCTCCTGCAGAGGGCAGCACTCACCTTTCTTCAGGTCAGCAGCCAGGGAACATTGCAGTCTGCCACTGATTTTTGACCATTGTTTTAATCACTTTTTTCTAATTTTTCTGGTTCAGGATGAAAACATGATCAGTTTCATCAAGGGGGGAATCAAAGTGAGAAATAGCTACCAGACGTACAAGTGAGAATCCCTGACACATTAACACCAAGGTGTGTGTTTCCTGCGTCTTGTTTTAAGCTCTCCTTCCTCATCTCTTTGATATACTCCTCTACACAGAGAGCTTCACAGCGTTCTCCAGTCGTCTGGATACACTCATGGTGATAATCATGGTCATTTTGAGGGCGGTGTTAAACTGGGAGTTGGAGCCTTTAATCTAGTAAGTGGTATTCTGAAAGGAGACACATTTATAAATTGTAATTAAATGTACTACAAGCATAAAACAAAGTTTAAAATGCAGAAAACTGTGTGTGTGCATGTATCATTTTGCCATGCCTACACTGCTAGAAATTAAATTTAATTGTATTGTTCAGGAAAAGGTTGTCTTCTCATTTCCTCTGCTTGTCTACTTCCTGCAGATGATTTCCATGCTGCCCACAAGGACGCTCAAACTGCTCGAGTTTGTTGGGTTCTCTGGTAACAAGGTGAGTCGTACTGAAGGCAGATAAACATACAGCATCTGTTTTAGATATTTTCAAAGGAGGTGAAACTTTCTGCTCTCTTGTAAGTGCAATGTATCCTCCTGTTTGTTTTTATTAGTCTAAAAAATGGGTAATAAAATGTATGGCCACTAATTTACGAGTCAAAGCGTCTGTTACTTATAGTGAAATTCTTTACACTACTACTGATATGACATTGAAGACCCTGATACATTTAGTGAAAACATGAAACAAACAACTTCAAGCAGACTGAAACTTTTGTCCTGACTGTACAACTGTACAATTTCTCTGTGTATTTTTGCGGTTCTGAATTATGCTTCTGCTTTGTGCAAAACCATGGCTAAAAGTGAAACTCAAGTTTTACATTTATTTTACTCGATTTTTAACAAAACGCAAATTCTGACAAAGTTGGGATGATGTATATAAAGTGTAAATAAAAAACAAATGCAGTGATAAACCCATGTTTTATTCACAATGGAACACCGTAAACAAATCAAATGTTTGAATGGCAGCACGACGGCTCAGTGGTTAGCACTGTTGCCTCACAGCAAGAAGGTCCTGGGTTCAATCCCCAGTTGGACCTGAGGTCTCTGTGTGGAGTTTGCATGTTCGTCTCGTGCTTGCGTGGGTTTTCTCCGGGTACTCCGGTTTCCTCCCACAGATCAAAAACATGCATGTTAGACTGCCTTCAGGCCCAGGCCTCCCTTGCAAAAGAGATCTGTGATCTCAGTGGGATTTGCCTGGTTAAATAAAGGTTAATAAATAAATAAACTATGAAATTGTACATTTTTGGGGGTGGAAATTAGTCTAGACCAGTTTCTGGCGTATTTGGAGGGGAATGTTGTCCCCTTGTCTGATGTGGTGTTCTAGCTGTTCAAAATTCCTGGGTCTTTGCTGGATTTTTCAATTGTTGATGTTTCATTGTTTTCATTTAGTAAACAGTCTGGACTGCAGGCAGGTCAGTTAAGCACCTGGAATATTTTATCATTTATAAAATTTTACTAAAAGTATCTACAATTTTCATCGCCCCTCATCAAAGGAGAATCTTAGTTTAAAACTCTACAGAGGAATCCAAGTCTTTGTTTGTGTGGGTTTTTTGCTTCTTCTACCAAATGATCCTCTTTGTTAAATGTTTTTGTCTGTGTTTGTGATTTGTGTGTGCACATGTAGGAGTTTGGTCTTCAGCAGCTGCAGGAAGGCTCTGCAGAAAGCACTTTCAGGTCGTTCCTGTGTAACATGCTGCTGCTCTGTTATCACACATTCATGAGCTTCATACTAGGTGAGCTACGATATGCATGGATTTCCATGCATCTGCAAAGATGTATAAGAAGTCAAACATTTTTGTTTATTTTGCTGTCAATGTCATTTGCAGGCACTGGTGAAGGAGATGTTGCAGATGCAGAAAATCTTCTGCAGCCTTACTTAAAAAAATACCCCAAGGTTTGCTTAGTTTTTATTCACATTTACCTATAATTGAAAGTGTCACATTCCCAAATATAATCTGTTGAATTTTCTACAGGGATCCATATTTTTGTTCTTTGCTGGTCGGATAGAGGAGATCAAAGGCAACCTGGATGCTGTAAGTATTCTGCACCTAAAAATTACTCATCATTGTACTGCTGCAGTGATCCCATTTCATACCAAAGATCCCTTTTTTAAAGAGAGAGCATTTTTATCATTGTAACTACAAGTTAAAAAAAGGTCAAATTTCTTATAATGGATGTGTTTGGACACTTTAAGCTTTCAGTCCTGCACAACTTTTATTTTGAACTCAACTTGTTGTCGCAGAATGATTTAAAGATTAATTTAGCATGACATCGACTCATTAAAACATGACTTCTGTTGTAGGCTATCAAGCTATTTGAGGAGTGCTGTGAGGCTCAGCAGCAGTGGAACCAGTTTCACCACATGTGCTACTGGGAACTGATGTGGTGCTTCACATACCAGAGGCGCTGGAAGATGGCCTATTTCTATGCAGATCTGCTAAGCAAGGAGAACTCATGGTCCAAGGTGGGACACCAAACTGTCAGATATACCGTACTTGCCGCCGCACATCACACTTCCGTATAAGTTGCATCAGTCCAAATATGTCTAATAAATTGGGAGAAAAAAACATAAATAAGTCGCCTTACCATATAAGTATCCTCTATTATTCGCTGACGTGTCGCGTTTGTTATGCGTCACCGCTGACCACCTGGAAACCTGGGCCGGTGTTGTGCCAAAAATCGATTGGCTGCCAAATGGCGACTGCGAGAGCATGCAATGGAGGACTTTAACAAGAATTTAACAAGATTAACACTTAAAAACCATTATTTGTTTGCTCAGTGTTATAGTAAAGGTGTGTCTTAGTTGAACTTTTCCTTAATAAATGAACTTTAATGGTCAAATCTGCTGCATTTTGCCTGGGCGCCACGGCGAAATGCAGCTGATTTGACGTTTGCTCCAGGAGTTCCGGAGCGAGACGAAGGTAGCTGCTATGGCAAGCCAAGTGTCTCATTAATAGCCACTTTTACCTTTTAATGAGACACTTGGCTTGCCATATTACTCGAGGGTCCTCTAGCGGCTGCAAATGGTAATGTTTAATATTTTTCATGTCAAAATGAATGAACTCGTCAGATCTCAGCCAAAAGTTGGGTTATCAATATGGGGGGAAAAAACGTATATTAGTCGCTTCGGTGTATAAGTCGCAGGACTTGCAAAAATGTGCGACTTATACACCCGCAAATATAGTAAATATGTTATGAAAAGAACAAAATTTGAATGTGTTTTAATTTAGTCAGTTCCATGTAAGTAAAAAAGTTTTTAAACAGGCAACTTCTGACTTCAAACAGATTTTAAGATAAAAGAATGCCTCTGTTAAGATGTAGCCCTTTTTATTTAAAGGTAGGATGAAATTGCATGTGTAAGCATATTTTTTTCCCCCTCAGGCCACTTACGCATACATGAAAGCAGCCTATCTCAGCATGTTGACTGAGGATGACTGTCTAACCTTTGGGGAGACTTCACTGACTCTGTTCAGGTACGAACTCAGATGCTGCTTAAATTACTGACAATAATGTGAAAATAAGATAACTCACTCTTACTCATCTTTGAATCGCTGTGTAAATGTTGCAAACAAAATTGTTATTGTGAATGGCTGGGAAACTAGAACATGAACTGATAGCCAAAAGGCTTAAAGTCACAAATGAAACTCAAGGTTTCAGATTTTATTAGCTTGTCAGGTGTACGGTTTGTTTGTCTGGCATCTGCTAAAGAGTCATAAACGCCCAACAGGTGGAAAAAGACGAAGCGAGAAACAAAAATTGTATGGCTGGATTAACATTTTTATGGCTGGATTAACATTTTTATGGTGCAGTTAGTAAATGACTTATCAGGAAATGTGGAAGTCAAGTTCAGTTTAGCAAGCTAAGAATAATAATATTGAACAGAACTAATTTTAGATTTACCAAAATGGCTAAGTCAGTAACTGCAGTATATCTTGAGGAAAAAGGTATGAACCTCTGAGGTATGGCTTTGATGTGTAGCAAAACCTGCACAAATATGACCTGGAAGAAAATTCTCCTTCCATCTTTACTTCAAAGGTCAGCATCAGGACGTTGTAGAAAGATCTGCCGAATAAGCCTAATTTATTGGTTAGGGTTTAGGAAACAAGTCATTTTGACAGATTTAAAATGGAACCCACAGACTGATGAACATGTGGGTGTGCTTTAAATGATTCAGTCTTTCATGAAAAGGAAACACCTTCTGATTGTTAAATCTTAAAGAATCTAAGCACTTGAATACTATTTTAAATTCAAAACAGGACTGGAAAATATGGTTGCTGAAGTGGTGTTACTGAGTACTGTTCATGCTGGACTCCCAAAAATGGAAAAAACACACAAAGAAAAATGGCTTTTGGTTGGGTGAAAGAATGTTTTTTTTTTTGTGTGTGTGTTTTTTTTTTTGGTATAAAAAAAGGAAATGTAGACAGAAAATGTGTCCAGCTCAACTTATATCCTTTTTTTTATTTTTTTTTTATTTAACAATTTATTGATCATTTTGGTATTCACATCAACATAATTTTTGAGTATGTTCACTGTATTTGAAATTATGTTCTGGGAAAAAACACAAGATTATCTTGTTTTTACATGAAACCTTTGCAACATCTATTTTCACCATGACGCTATGATTTATGTTTGTTGCATCATGTTTCAGGCAGGTCCCTGGACTGAAGCAGAAAATAGCAGGAAAATCTTTACCAACTGAGAAGTTTGCAATAAGAAAAGCCCGCCGCTACTTTGCAGAGAAACCAGTTCCTCTTTCTGCCCCTCCACTGGTCAGTTCTGGACATCGTTTGTGTGCAATACAAAGTTACTCGCAGCATTTCTTAATTTACCTCAGTTTACAGTACTGCATTACAGTATGGTTTATGGTTTGTTACAACTAAGATTGTTCAAATAACAATATAATAAAGCTTTGATGTGCTGATTGATTTATGACTGCAATGCTTGAGTTTCACAACAGTTTGCAGAATATTTTAAGAATTAATTGTGACTTGAGCTGACGCACAGAGAAAATGCTTACCTACAGCAGTAGATAATGACTCCCTGCGCACTGTCAATGATTTCTGTGTTTGCTTGGTGTCTAGGAGATGATGTACATCTGGAACGGTTACACAGTCATTGGTAAACACAAAGACCTAACCGAGGGCATGCTGGAAACCCTAGATGAAGCGCAGGCTAAACTTGAAAGCCTTCCAAGTAAGAAAAAAAACAAAAAGAACCTATTTACAAAATCTGTCTCCTTTTAAAAGCAACCGTTAAAAGTTGGTTTAAAATGTGTTTGATGTTTTATAGATTTTTAAATAACTCAAAAAGTGATCCGTTTTGTCCGTTCGGTTCTCTTTGTTTGTCAGGGTCAGAGTTCACCATAGATGATCAGTGTCTGTTGAGCCTCTTGAAGGGTCTCTGTCTTAAACACCTGGGACACACAGAAGAAGCTGAACACTATTTTACCCTCGTCCTCTGCAAGTAAGCCTCTCTTTCTCTCCGTAACACAAATATACTATAATACTATACTATACCATACTATATAATATAATCACTGTAATGCCACTTTAATTGGTGGTATGTCACTTTATCTGTGCTGCTGATTATCTATGCTGCTGATCTCTTGCCTTTATGCTGTTGTTTTCATACCCATCTACCATACTCACTACAGACTCATGTTCGGGCTGTTGTTTAATAAACCGTATTATTTTATATTATTAGTGTTTAGCGTATATTTTAGGTCTTTTAGCATATTGTTTAGCTAATATCTTAGATTATTATTATTATTATTATTATTATTATTATTATATATTTTATTTATACAGCTTAGTTCCCATTGAGCCTCGAAGACTCATTTATGCCCCTTTTCCATTAGTACCGGTACGGGCCGACTCGACCCTACTTGGCCCGGTTCTGAGGCTTTTCCATTAGTACCGGTACTTAGCACCTGTTACTATTTTCAGTACCCTTGGCTCTGTGGTTCTAACCGGTACGAAGAGGTACAAAAACGTGACGTCAGTACACTGTCGGTCACCGATTGGTCGGGGGCGGAGTCGCTGGATCCTTCAGAAACGTTTCAAAACAATAATCCGCCATTTGCAATTTCTCGGACTGGAGCAGCGGCTGGACTTATTTTAAAGATTTTAAAAACAATACTGACAACATCTTGGTCTAATGTTGATGTGCTGGCATTTTTTGTGCTTGGTGGCCGACAACATAATTCAGAGCAAGCTGGATGGAGCTCTGCTGGTGTAACCCGATCCTCCCTCCGGAGCCTCGGAGCGCCAGACCGGGCAGGGCGTCATCTCCCCGGCTCCAAGTTCAGCTGGTCACCGCGGAAGAACCTTCGATGTGCCGACTCGGAGGCTCGGGTTCCAGATACCAGCCTTGTGTGCTCAGAGCTCCGCAGGTCACTGCGAATCTGGAGATGGGGACTCGCAGATGGCCGTTGCGAGACCCCGGCCGCGCGTAATCATGAAGGCTGAATCCCGATCCCGCCCGGCAGTCAGGCGGACTGGACAGTCTGGGACGGACGCTGGAAGCGATTTTTAAATAAAATAATATTTTGTTTTTATACAAAAAATGTTTTAAAAAAATGCTGAAGCGATTTAAAAATGATTTTTTTTTTTTTTTACACGTAAAATGTTTTTTAAAATCGCTTCCACCGTTCGTCGCAGACCGTCTCTGCCCGCCTGTCTGCGCAGGTCGGACCTTCATGATTACGCGCGGCTGGAGTCTTGGAACGGACTCTGTGAGTGACCAGCTGAGCTGGAGCTGGGAAGATGAGCCTCCCAGCTTCCTCCTCTCCGGAGGAGAGGATCGTGTGACTGCGGGCAGTGTCGTGCGAGACCAGCAGAGCGTTGAAGATTAAAAAAAAAAAAAAAAGACGGTGCCAGCTTCATCATGAAATCCTGTTTTCACTTTAATGACTGTTAACTCAGCTGAAAATCATAAAAAGACACAAAACTATTGGATATCAGGAATATTTCCCTCAAACATGTTTAAAGAAGAGACGACCTTCAGTTCAACTTTATTTTAACTCACGAATGTACAAATCACAAAACAAGAACTTTAAAGCAAAGCTAAAAATAAAATGT